AAGTCAGGACGGAAGGAGTAGTAGGGATATAAAGCAGAGGATAGCGCAGGGTCGAGTCGCCTTCAATAAAAAGAAGTCACTTCTATGCTCGCGAACGGTTAATTTAGAAATTCGAAAAAGATTGTTAAAGGTGTATGTTTGGAGCGCGGCGTTGTACGGGTGCGAAACATGGACCGTGAACACGGCGGAAAAGAAAAGGTTAGAATCGTTCGAAATGTGGTGTTATAGACGAATTATGAGGATACCGTGGATAGAGAAGATTAGAAATGAAGAGGTATTGGAAAGAAAAGGAGAACAGAGGACTATGGAAGTCTCTAAGAAATAGGCGAGAAAGGTTGGTAGGACATCTTCTCAGGCATGAAGGTCTGGCCGAAAAAAAATTTTAGAAGCAGAAACGGGAGTTAGGAGGGGTAGAGGTAGTCCTACATTTGATTACTGTTCGTAAATAGTTAAGGATGTGGGTTCTAGTTTAAGGGAAAAGCTAAGGTTAGCTCAGGATAGAAAGAGTGGAGGTGCGTGTCCAACTAGTCTTAGGACTGATGCCATACGATGATGATGTGTTTTTTTACGTTGGTAATATGTCAAATTTTTAATTTCTTTACCAAATGGACGTGATAAAGCTGTTGTGTTCCTAATATTTTGTTCAAATAGTGCAAAATTATTTTACGTTTAAATAAAAATACGGAATTTATAATATAATCACTAGAAGGTCGCTGCGTTGAATTGAGTTTACAAGCGGCCATTGTCTTGATTATGTTAACTTTTTCTCAAGCTTTTTCAAAGCGTCTTAGGTAAGTGTTGAGGAAATAATTTCTATGGCTCAGACAGACCTTTCTCCTGTACAACTTTTTTTTTTCGACCGTCTACTACGTCCTTGATAATGAAGATATTATCTTCACTTCTGTACGTTCAACATTCCATAATTATTGTTCCGCCTTGAAAGAAATTTAAGATTTAATGACCATAGGCGAATAGAGAGGCCACAAATTATTTTATAGATAATAAGATCTGATGTAGGAAGAGTTTTCACTGATTGAATCCGATTAAATTGTTGCAACTGATCCTGGGGTTTTGTTTTAACCTTTCTATTGCTTGGGTTTGGATTAATCTTCACCATCATGGTAAAGTCGTCGTTGCATCTACTTCATCCTATCTTTGCACTTACCAAAAACATAACTATTTCTTCCTCTCTTTGACCGAGCGGCATGGCCTAGAGGTTTAGATCATTGCTTAGCATTCGGGAGGACGCCGGTTCGATTCCGGGTCCGTCTGCCTTGGTCCAAGTTTTTCTGTGGTTTCCTTGGACCAGTAATATTCCAGAGATGATCTTTCATTCTCTTCTATCTTCATTTCATCTGAACCACCACCCACTCATTCCCACGATTCCTAAAAGGAGACTGAAGAGGGCCTTCCGCTTTACCTTCCGGCGTAGTCCGGAAGGACTGCCCGCCCACCAGCATTACTGGCTGGTGGGAATGAAACACCCTAAAGTTTTTTTTTCCTCTCTTCTCTTCTGAAACAGTATTATTAAACATGATAAATAGGAGCGGTCCCAGATGCGGCCCTTGAGGAACGCCAACGTTTATATAGTTCTATTCTCACTTCCCTTACGTGTTACGTACCAAAAGTTTTTGGTTTTTATTTCAGTATTTTGACTACATGTTAAGAAGTATTTACTCGAATTTATTAACCCCAGTTTTACGAATGTGAAGATACTTATCTTATGTTCATTAGCAATTAAAATTAGATGTGTCTAATACACGCATTGATGAACCTTCTATCTGGAATAACAGAATATTGAATATCAAGAGAGAGGTAGAAGTACTTTGAGGTTTAAGTTCTAATTACATTGACCTCTGAAGTCAGTTCCCTATCTCGGTGGCCATCATCATTTTGAAACTTTTGCTCTCTCTACAAGTGCAAGGTTCAATGTACAATAAACAACAAAGTAAATCAGATTATAACAAACACAGGTGGTCATGTACCTTTGGATGTACTTAGAGATAGATCCCCTTTTACTCTTGTCCACTCCTCATCACCATTTAGCGCCTCTCTCCTTGTTGTAGAACAGCAGAAAAAAAAAGCGAGAACAATCCTTAAAAACATAACTGTAACCGCATCTTTTTCTTGTATCCAGGTTTGGTGTTGTTGACCCCTTTCTTCTTAAAATGTTTATTTCGACGTATCGAATAGCTGTAGAAAATGGCAATGAACGTAAACAAAAGTTACAACAACTTTTACATGTGCACATTAATTTACTTTTAAATATGCGTGAATAACAATCAATCTTGGAACAGTTGAACACGTCCTACGTATAAATACGTATTCATTTACTTCTACAACTGTTTTTTGACGCAAATTTATAAAGGTTATTATTATTCTAAAAATACAACCGTGAATAAGTTCTTCTTTAAGTCGAGAATTAAAAAAAAATTAGCTGCAGTAAAACATGTTATGTTATTATCTCATTTGCACTGTCGTAAGTACTTATATTCCATAGATTTACTGCTTGAATAATTAAAATTAAAAAATTGTAAATGACCATTGTAACTATTCGTAGTAAATACATATTTCTTGCTTGCTGCAATACGCATTACATCACAAATAACAACTCAAGGTGCTTGAATCAAGGCTGTAATTTAAGAATAGGTGTATAGGTATTTGCAAATCGTACATTAAAAACTTATGTTGTTGTGGCCCCTTTGTGTCCTACTTGAAAACACGAGGAAGTCAATGTTTATTATGTTAGATGAAATAAATCATAAAATCTACGTACAGATACAGAGTGAAGAAGAAATGCTGTGGTGTAAATTCAATTCAACAAAGGCAGGTCCAAAATGAGTTTTGGTGTTGCGTTTCCTTTTTCTTGGCCCGAGATAAAAATGTTCAGTCTCTCAGAGTCTCTGAAAGCGAGACTCGAGTCTCTGTCTCTCATCGAGTCTCTCTGGTGTCGCTGAGAGAGACTGTCGAGTCGCTCATAGAGAGATCCTCATTTCGAATCCAGTCTCTGAACGAGAGACTCGAATCTCTCAATAAGTGGTGTCTCGACAGACATGGTTATAATTTAATCTAAGTTCAACATATTTCAGAGATTCCAGTCTTTCTACGAGAGGATCGAGTCTCTCAATTTTTCAGTTTTATTCATTCGGTCACTCTGTGAGAGACTCGAATCTCTGAATTAAGAATTGTATCGTTCGAGTCTCTCATACAGAGACTATGAGAGATCCATAAAAACATCTAGGCAACAACTGAGAGACTGTGAAAGACTGTGAGAGACGACGAAAGACTCTGAAAGACTCTGAGATACTGGAGAGAGACTGAAAATTTTTATCTAGGGGTATTTCACAAGTAGAAGTGGTATCAAAGAAAACTGAAACAACAAATTCTGGTGAATTCGTAATGAATAGTCTCTTTGTAGAAAGCTCATCACGTACAAAAAATAAATTGGAACATCTGTCAGATCCTTGTTGAAAAATAATTAGGTTAAAAATATTTGCCACCCTTTGGTGGTTCTTATAAATTGGCTTAGTCCAAGTAGAGTTTAAAAATTTCATTGTATTTGCTGGTAGAGAATGTAAAAACTTCCAGAGTTGCAAACCTTAAATTTTAGACTATTCACATTAGTGATATACATATACAGCAATTAGGATTAACCATTAACTCATGCCCACTAATTTAGTTCATCAAACTCCCATTTCTCTATCACTGGAACTGAAAATTCCTCGTAAAAACATCTACAGAAACTAAAAACCTTAGATGTTGAAACGCATTTTAATTTTGGATCTTTGTGTTGTATGTGGTTCAGTCCCACTCTTGTACGTTTTTAATGTATATCTTTTCCTTCCAGATATGGTGAGAAACAACGTAGGGGAAGTGGTCAAACCGAGTTGACAGGCATCCAACTTCTATCGGCTACAGCGTACCAATTGAAGAAACCTTACCAGCAACTGCTGATACCCATTACAATATGGATTGGCATGGAGCAGGCTTTCATTGGTGCCGATTTCACCCAAGCATACATATCATGCGCCTTGGGCATATCATCCGTGGGTTATGTCATGATATGTTTCGGTGTTGTGAACGCCATTTGCAGTTTACTTTTTGGTTCCGTGATGAAATATATTGGACGACAGCCCATCATTGCTTTGGGAGCGCTAGTACACACGGGTGTTTCCATATGGTTACTTTTGTGGCGACCTCATCCCAGTAACCCGATCCTTTTCTTCATGGCCGCAGGACTTTGGGGCGTGGGAGATGCTGTCTGGCAAACCCAAATTAATGGTAAGATCACTTCTACACCATATCTTTCTTTAGATTTAATGTATTAATGTATTGTGTTATTTGTGCGTACATTAAGTCTGTCCCATGTTTACTTTCTGAAAATCAAGAAAAACATGGAAATCATGTAAAAATTTTAGTCATTGATGTGATTTCATATAAAGTACTTTAAACAGAAAGGTACAGATTGATCACGTGGTAATTTTATTTTCTTTAGGGGTGGTCAAAAACCTAAAGGTTATCTTCAACCAATTTGTGATGCTAAGTAGTCATCATCATAAGGTCGTCAGTCTTAAGACTGGTTGGACACTCACCTTCACTCCTTCCTATCCTGAGCTAATCTTCGCATTTCCCCAAAAAAAATCCCTCATCCTTAACTATTTGTGAACAGTAATCTAATCTAGGTCTACCTCTACCCCTTCTAACTACCGTTTCTGCCTCTAATATGTGTCAAACTAGACCTTCATGCCTGAGAAGGTCTACCAACCTATCTCGCCTATTTCTTAGTGACTTCTATAGAGTCCTCTGTTCTCCTGTTCTTTCTAATATCTCTTCATTTCAAACCTTCTGTATCCACGGTATCCTCATCAATCGCCGGTAACACCAGATTTCGAATGCTTCTAACCTTTTCCGCTGTTCCACCATTCATGTTTCGCACCCGAACAGCGCCGCGCTCCAAACATACACCTTTAACAATCTTTTCCGAATTTCTAAATTAACCGTTTGCGAACATAGAAGTCACTTCTATTATTGAAGGCGACTCAACCTTGCGCTTTCTTCTGCTTTATATCCCTACTACTCACAAATAACACCCATCGAAAATTTTAAAGGAATGACAAATATTTTAGGTTAAAAGCATTGAAAAAAATTGAAATGGTTTTTATGTTCATAATAAATAGGCTAAATAAATTTACCTACTAAAAAACTGGTAATTTAAATAAGACGTAGTGTATGTATTCAGGTCTCTATTGAATTACAATTATTTTGTTACACATTAAATGCAAATTTTCTAACAAATTTTTTGTCAAGCAGTAAAACAGTTTACGTAAATGTACGTATGAGCTTTACGGATGATGGCATTTTATACAAGAAGCTACGGTCTGCGAATAATCAGGGATCAAAATAATACTCAAGGATGTAACTGAATGGTGTTTTGTTTTTGTAAAATTTCCCTTTTTTTTACATTTGCATATTTACATAGATAAAGCTCGAATGAAAAAAAGTCAATTTAATTGAGGTATGATGTAACCTGTTTCTTTGTTCGATACTCCGTGTTGTCAAACAATGATCATCCTTTAACATTTTTCTTAAGATGCTTAACAGTAGCTAGAACGAAATCCTCGACGTACAAAAAGTAATATCCAAAGCCACTTTTTTTTCTTTGTATCCGCCATGTGTCTTCTGTTTATGGGACTGTGCTTACGAAGAAATCATTTGTCGATTAAAAAAAGGTACTTAACATAAAAGAGACTACAGAGATTACATCAGTTCTAACAATTGTACCAAATTACAGTGGCGCATCACCAAGGATAAATTAATTTAGCAAAAAACAGTAGATACTTACAAATGTAGTTTTGATTGATCTGAATTGACTTTTTCTTTACAAAGTAATTACTGTTAACGTCTAATAAAACTAGCAGTATTATATATTCCCTAGACAAAAATTTTTAGTTTCTTTCCTGTCTCTCAGGGCCTTTTAGCGTCTCTTACAGTCTTTCACAGTCTCTCAGTTATTGCCTAGGTGTTTTTATGGATCTCTCACAGTCTCTGTATGAGAAACCCGAACGAAAAAATTGTTAATTCAGAGATTCGAGTTTCTCACAGAGAGACTGAATGAATAAACTGAAAAATTGAGAGACTCGAGTCTCTCGTAGAAAGACTGGGATCTCTGAAATATGTTGAACTTAGAAACATTTAACCATGTCTATCGAGACACCACTTATTGAGAAATTCCGATCTCTCGTTCAGAGATTCGAGTCTCTCGTTTAGAGACTGGATACGAAATGAGGATCTCTCTATGAGCGACTCGAGTCTCTCGTTCAGAGACTGGATACGAAATGAGGATCTCTCTATGAGCGACTCGAGTCTCTCGTTCAGAAACTAGATACGAAATGAGGATCTCTCTATGAGCGACTCGAGTCTCTCGTTCAGAGACGCTAAACAGTTTTTTGACAGTCTCTCGACAGTCTTTTTCAGCGACACCAGAGAGACTCGATTTAGAGACGAAGACTCGAGTCTCGCTTTCAGAGACTCTGACAGACTGAATGAATAAAACTGAAAAATTGAGAGACTCGAGTCTTTCGTAGAAAGACTAAGATCTCTGAAATACGTTGAACAGTCTCTCTCAGCGACACCAGAGAGACTTAATGAGAGACGGAGACTCGAGTCTCGCTTTCAGAGAAACATTTTTATCTAGGGTTATCATCATTAATTTTGGTATTTCTTTTCAGGATTGTACGGGACCCTATTTAGACGTAACAAGGAAGCTGCATTCTCCAATTATCGACTGTGGGAGAGCTCTGGCTTTGTGATAGTTTATGCCTACTCGACTCACTTGTGCGCACGCATGAAAATTTTCGTGATGATCTGCATACTAGAAATTGGTGTTATCCTGTATATAGTCGTTGAAATCCTCCATTATAGAAAGATCAGGAGGCAGAAGGAAAAGGAAAGAAAAGCCGCAGAAGCAGAAGCGAAGAAGCAGCCACCTCCAGTAACTGAACCCGAAGAAACGGACGACGAAAAAGACGATATAGATGACGAAATCATTGTAACGCATTTGTAAAAAAGAACCAAAAGGTAAGTGACTGTAGTTTTCATGTTAATAATATCAATTATTTATATAATCATTAATTAAGAATACATGATGGTAGGGAGATCGAGGACGCCACAAAATTAAACAATATGACTCCCGTTAGAACGCAAATGTTTTTATCCCTTTTTAGCAAAAATCGCCTAATTAATCCACATAACTCTGGCATTATTACATAGGTAACATTTTTCTTTTAGTTTTCGGCACATACTTAATTAAAATTGTTTTTTTATTAAATTTTTATCTTAATCAATGTTGAATTTTATTATCATTTTGCGATCTATCACATGTACCACATCAGTAAAAGTCATAGCGGCCATTTTGACAGTAGGTACCCTGAGCGCTTTAGTAGTACAGTAACTCGACAACAGATGTCACAGCGATGTATAGGATGAAAAATAGTTACTGATCATGTTGATGTGTTAAGCAAATTATGTCGTGAATAACAAATCATTCTTTAACTCACTTTGCACCATTTTACAATTATTACCAGCTTAATTTAAATTTAATTAATTAATAATCCGAATTAATTATTAAAAATTATTAATTTTGTATTTTAATTCTTACACTAGAGTAGCATTCTAGAAAGAAACTAGTTTTTTACATTTAGTTACCTCATAATTGTATTTGAATTCTATAATTATTTCTGTGAAGAGATTACTATATTTATGCTGATTTCCGCTACTTAAAGTTTTGCTAAAACGTCATAAAGTAATCGTAAAACGCGTAATTACATTTGGTAATGTAAATAAAGGTGCATCTTGTTAATTAGGTACACTTGAAAACCTGTACCATTGTCTCAATCAATCAACAAATGACATCACGGCTAGATTGTTTATTCTCTTATTAATTACCCGTGAAGTAAACCGCAGGATCTATTCCGGTCGAAACGAAGCGTTTCGTTGAATTAAATAAATTAGTAAGTTTGTCATTGAAAAATTTAACTACGTTAACCTTTTCGCGGTTCATAACTTTTTGCAAAGACCGATCATTATTATAGTTAAAAAAGTCCGCATTGACCTGTTTTTAAGTTTCAATTCGCATTAGTGCTACACCTTAATTACGATTAAACCGCGAACGGTATTGTGTTTACAATTCTTTGTAAGAATCATTAATCTGATACTCTCGAATCTACCAAATTTTGTGTGAATGCAATGCCAATGTCAATGTTGTTTTATAAGCTTTTACTAAAAAGTAAAGAGAAGACAACTTCTCAATAATCCTGCTGTCTTAAATTGAATCAGTGGAATTTGTACTGATATTTTCAGTAATTCGGATGACAACTGACAAAACAATAATTTTTTTTATTAAAATTTATTACTAAATCGTACTTACTTTTTTGTATTATTCATTATAACAGTAACTGTTGTTTTCAGTACTGATTTTACTGTTTTACAGTCGTATGATTGGCACTGTGAGAGTCAGTCAATATTCATTGAAAATCAGTCATTATTCACTGTTTTAATTTAAGAGTGCACATTTTTATGTTTCCTTAGTAAAAACGATCTTAAACATGTCGACATTAGCACTTTAATTTAATTAGGTTTAAATAGCAAACATCATAAGTTACACCCAAATTTAGTAGGGGTGCTATATAAAAAAAAATCATTAAAACGATATTTACAATTTATCGCATTATCCCGTTGCTTCCAGAGGAAAAATAATAAAAATTATAATTTGGATCCAAATTTTATAAAAATAAAATCCCAGCAGAAATAAATTTACTAGGTATTTTAGTTATTACAAACTTAATTGTAATAATTAAGAAACTTGAAATAATTTTTAAAGAAACGTCAAAATTGTGACTATTACAAGTTACCTAGTAAATTCTACTATTTCAACGACAAATTCAGTCATTTATAACTGAAAACTGTGATTTTTCCGTTGTCATAAAAATTTATTTTTTTTCGTGCCGGAATTCTAAATTGTCCAAAAGCAGTGATCTTTGTAGTTTTTATTTGACCCCATGTACTATTAACATCATGTTTTGTATCACCGTCATTTTTGATAAGTTGGTAAATATAATAAGGAAAAACAAACATTCATAAAATAATATAGAGTTATGTGGGTATACATTTATGATGATGTACCACCAGAGAAAAATAAGTTCCAACATTTCTCCCTAAGAATTACTTTAGGGCAAACATTTTTTCCTGTTTGGAACTAACCAGATGGCAAAAATGACTTTTCAGTTAGGTAACGGGAAGTGAATTTTAGACAAAAGACTTTCAGGCGTCCTCAACTGTGATACTTTTCAAAATGTTAAAGGAACAAAGTTGACTATATGAAGGAACAACTTTTTTTTTTCGGAAAATTTAGCCTGGATGTTTGTTTTCTATCATCAGCATCCGAATTTAGAAAGTTTCATCCCCAATAAACCCTATAGTCTACTATGTTGTCAGGAGTGAGAGAGAACTTTGTATAGAGGCCCCTTGTTACTATCCTTCTCTAGAAAAACGAGTAAATGCGGACAATTGGCTTTTACTGTGTTGAATAAATAAATAATTATCTACAGAGACAAAATCCTTTCGGCAGCTTTCTCTCTCACACCAGGCATCACGCTGCGCTGGTAGCCATCCACGGCTATGTAGAACTCTTTAGTAAATTTGCAAACTTTACAGTGGATTTTTTGTTTTTTTTCCCCAGATATTTATTATTCTATGTGCCTTTTAACTGATGTTGAAGAAGAGGATTTGACGTTAAGCAAAAGCATCGTACGAGTAAAGAAAACTGAAAACTAATTCCTTCTTAAAAGTGTATCCACCACAGTATTATTAAGGTGTGAAATGTCCTTTTGCTGTCTTAAAAACTATACATGTTAATGTAAATGTAGATACAACACAAAATGATAATGGTCCCTCTTCGAATGACGACCTCATTATGTCCAACCTGTGTATATAGTCACTTGTTTACTTCACTAACTTTCGGTGATTCGGTTAGTTCAACATTAGGAAATTAGAGGTAGCAAATTTTAGATACACTTAAGATTGTTACTACTTTGATTATTATTATTATTATTATTATATTGTTAGTTTATCAATCCTGTGATTGTGGTAAATTAATTTGTTGTATTTATGTCTAAGCATAGGATACGTAGGTATAAACGATTATTATTATTATTATTATCATTATTATAAAAATATAGTCATCATCACTAGGTACTTATTAGTACTACTATTGTATTATTGTTACTGTGTAATTAATTATATGCTAGTAGAATTTTCCTCTAACAAAACAAAACACTAATTTAACGAAAAAATAAAATTCCAAATTCGCCTGCCTGCAGGATTGTAGTCGCGATTACTATGTACTAATGAACTTCGAGTTTATATATATGTATATTTAGGTAAGTACCTAGAGTCAGAAAATTTTAGGAAGGAATTGTAGCAATTGTTTTTGTTCTTAATTTCTGAGCTGTACTTATATTGTGAAAATAGGCGTAGTTATATAGACTTTAGGGTCAACCGTCGATAAATAATGTGGCCTCAAACATATAAATTAAAAAATATTATATTATTATACTAGAGTAGATACATATCTACATAAGGATCAATACCTGTCTATTAAGAAAAGTGTACAGTATAAATAAAACATTATTGAAACTTTAAATGTATAAAATTATTATTATTATTATTTAGTAAGTGTTTTTGTTATGTAAATTCAAACAGATTTTCTTTTCAGATATTTACTTCTATTTACGAATAATTGACTGTTCATTTTTAATTATTCATTACTCAAGAGGAGTTTTCTTTTCAAAAACTTTTGTACACCCCGTACATGTAAAATTGTTTCTTTGTGTTTTTTTTTGATTCATGAATTGTAAAAAAAGAGGAAATTTAAAAATTACCTAATTGTACATTTTCATCAAACTTCAAATGTAATTACGTGTACGATAAAGGAAATATTTAAAAATGTAGATGAATCTATTTGCTATTTTCTATCTGTTTGGCGCAAATGTGACTCAATTTATCGAAAAAAGAGATAACATAACAAAATATAGCAATTTATTTGCTTGATGACCTTTAAATAATCATGTATCTAGGCAACAGTCGTAGGCTGGAGTCCGATGAGTTGAAATGACAACGTGGAACAGCACGAATTAAATAAAATCGGTTCGTTTAGGCTTTAAAACGCGTGGTGGTACAACAAAAAGAACATTAATTAGTGAATATAGTGATGCAAATTAATTATATTTATATGTGATAATCCTACGTAAGTGGTATTATTAAGGATATTAACATCAAGGATTAGAAAACAAAGAAAAAGGAACTATCAGGATGAAGACAACACAAGGTAGGTGAAAAATTTGAAAATTAAGGAATTTTCTGTTTCAGTCTATTAATACCTATATATTATACGTAAGCTTACAGGTAACAATCGTGATCAAAAATAGATGTACTGTAAATACAAAAAATAAGTGCACTTCTTGTAAAATTTATTAAATGGTAATGTCCTTGTACAACTTGAGATACAAAGTTAATGGACCTATAACGGTTATAAAAATTTAAAATAGGCATTTAGCATTTTTTTACTAATACTTTTCGAAATAGATAGGGTAATTTGGTTTATGAGTTAGGTATAACTAAGTTTTACCTGCAGCATCTCTCCCGTTGATGTCCTATATAGGTGTTGAAGAAAATCGACGACAACATAAAATAATATAGAAATACTAGGTAACAAAAGAAAACAATGAAAATTTTTAAGTTTTTATTAAAAACACTTCTTTCTTGGCAGTATATACTATTTGTATATTTAGTTAAATTACATATGCATATTATGTACTGATACGTACGTATAAACGGTATCCCGAAAATATCGATGGAAAAGTACGCCATCTTATTCATCATAAACTTGTGATTCATTTTCTCAGTTTTAATTCTTTATTATCTTACGAAATTTTGGAGGCAACAAAAAATTAAAACTAATGAATGAATCAATTTCCTTTCTCTGCTAGTGCCATTGGTTCACTCCATTTGTTTTTGAAACAATAAGGGGAGACACTTTTATTGATGCATTATTTTAATTACACATCAAAATTAAATGTCAAAAAGAATTTATGAAAAGGATAATAGTTCGGATTTTCGGAACACCGTAAATATCAGTTTAAATTAATTGTAAGTAAATTCTTGCTGGGGTATGACAACTAGCAGTCTTTTATAATGTCACCAGATTGAGGTATCGCTACAAAATTTAGTTTATTTAACGTTTAAATAGTTAGATATATAAGTATTAAAAATTACTCTAACAATTCTTCCGGTAGTTACACCACTTATAAATTTAGACTGAAGGTACATTTAATCCTTATAGCTGATAAAACTATTAAGTACATGTTGCATGAAGTAATTTTACATTGGTTTAATAGTAAATGTACCTTTATTTTGAAAATGGTATAACGCTAAAACAGTTTATTATTAGGGTAATAATTTTTAAGTTTGGGAAATAATCTTGATAAGTTCTCAATCTAGGAGCGAAGTTTTTATTTAAGTTTACACACTGTGTGGTAATTCAAACAATTACTGCTAATAAATAATGGTTAGCTCTTATATTAATGCCATCTTCGTACCAATTAACAAAATAAGTTCTTCCATTACCTAGTTGTGATACCCTTTCATCCATATTCAAAAACAAGTACAATATGTAAATAAATACATACATACAAGATGATTAATGCAAAAATGGAAATAATGTATTTACAGTAGAAGACTATTTACAGTGTATACTATATTTTTACATTTACAAGTCCAAACCCGAGTTTATTTTGAATTAATTCGGCATTAATTTATTCAAAAATTGCAACGACAATATTTACACTAGTTTAAAGTTTATGAATTTGCTGTTGCAAAACTTAAGCTTTAATTATCTTCACATTGTTTATAAATAAATAGACGTATCGGTATCGAAATTAGTTTTACTTATTAGATTTTGTAGTTTTAGATTTGAATTATACAAGATGTTTCAGGTTTGAAAAGTTAATTTTGATACACATTTCTACTTTAACAGGAACACTTTTTTTAAATCTTTCTCTATGAAAAGGATTAATTTAGTAACATCCATTTTATTTTTTGACTAGAACCTTTTACGGTTTTGAATTTAATTATAAAAGATATGCCCTCAAAATATTAATTTATGTAGTAAGTTTTATGATTGTTTTACTTTTTTTCGGTGGAATTGCTCGTTTTTCGATAAAAAAATATAAATATTCATAAAATTGTGTTATTTAGTAAGACGGTAACTGCTTAGTAGGCTACTGTCAAAAAATACATAGTTCAATTAATTTTTTTATCTATTTCCACATTGAATAAAGTGAAAATCAAATTTTGGCCCTCCTTCCTTGAAGGATAACTATTTAAGGAAGCGTTCGCGGATATCCTATTATAGAAAGCTTTTTTTGTATTTTGAGATCCTGAATTCAGATTTTAAGTATAATCAGTTAAACCTGAAACACCCGGTATAAACATACTCCACGATCATTTCTATAGGGTGAAATTCCGAGGGCGATAATCAAAACAGAAAACAACAAGGAGGAAGAAAGTATAAAAACTCTGCTTCTCTATATTTCATGATTTGTTGCAAACTTCGCCTTCCGAAATTGACCCCACTGTAATTAATAGGAATGATATTTACTTACAGCCCACAAAACAGTATCAAAGTGTGATATATCTGAAAAACATATTCGTGTAATAATCAAGCAGATTTTTGATGGTATAAAAATGTAAAACCTGCCACATAACTACCTATGTGAATTATCCTTTGCAGGTATCCTTCTTATACATATAACGTTATTAAGTAAAATACGAACATGTAAAAATTTGTAGGGCGACAGTCTAATCTATAGTGTTATAGATTAATAATATGTTTGTATGAGCAAAAACGGATTAATTCATAAACATTTAAAATTATGTGTCTATTTACAAGTGTATTACACCTATTCGTCCTCGTTGCCGTAGTAACATCTATTTGATAATGACTAAGAAACTTCTCTTTTGAATACTTGATTTTATTGCACTTACGAGATTTTACCTTTTAAGTTACAAGTTTAAAATGTTATTTTTAAATAAAAAAAAAGGTTACATATAACAATACTTCAAAGTTTATACAGACATATCAGTTACCTAAAAGGTGGAAATAAATCTTGCAATGGATAGGTAGGTATGTATGATGATAAAATCTTTATCTTTAATTTTTGTAGGATTTAATGTTAATATTCATTTTTCTTTTTCATCCCTGATATGATTAAACCAATCTGAAGTGCTTCACGTAATAAAGCTATCTACTTATTTATTTACAATAAACCATAACATTCCATTCACCATGTAATTGTTTAATTTAAAAGTGTTCTCTATTTTACCTATTTTTTATACCGTGGATAGAGAAGTTAGAAACGAATAGGTATTAGAACGAGTAGGAGAACAGAGGACTCCATGGAAGTCAATAAGCAATAGGTGAGATAGGTTGGTAGGACACTTTCTCGGGCATGAAGTTCTAGTCGGAGACATAGTAGAGGCAGAAACAGGAGTTTAGAGGAGTAGATGTAGACCTATATTAGATTACTGTTCGCAAATTGTTAAGGATGTTCTAGTTTTAAGGAAATGCGAAGATTAGCTCAGGATAGCAAAGCGGAGGTGCGTGTCCAACCAGTCTTAGGACTGACGACCTTATTAAAATGATGAATTACCCCAGAAAAAGGGTAAAACGCTATTTGTTGTAAATAAATAAATAGCTCTTTTACCTGAAGTGGTACAGATGCGTTGTTCCCTTAAAATTTTAATGTTAATACACCGATTTTCAGTATCTAATATCTACACATTCTATCATCATACAACACCCATCACACTATTGTGAAAACAATTGATAATTTATGTATTTTCCTAACGATTTTATTTAGAATTGGCACCCTGCATCTTGTTGTTTTACCTGTTTATGTTAAAAGAACGTCTGGTGCTTAAATTATTTCATACTACAGTCCAGGAATTATTAATGTTATTTCAACCTTAGTAACTTTACTGGCCCTTTTAATAATTATAAAATTTTTAACTAAAGGAATAATTAATGTAGCGCGTTTTCACAGCCGTGTTATCTTTTATATAATACATTTACTCAGTTAGCAAAAGACATTAAGTTTTCTTTATAACTTGCTTATTATATATTTAGCTTTCATCTAGGGATGATGGTAACAGTAGGAGTCGTATGAAAGCTTTTCTTTATCAATTTAACTATTAATTTTACCATTTAATGTAATTATGATTTTCCATTAATTAAAATATCTAATTCTTTTTGCTTAAAGTAGAATTTAAAACATTTCCAAATTATGAAGAGTTATATTGGGTTGTTCGGAAAGTCATTTCGTTTTTTCCCGACAGAGGATTTAATTGTATTCTTTTGCACCCAACTTCACATTTAAGCCGTACAATTTTTATATGCTTTGAGAGCTCATATAGCAAGGCTTGTGTGTGAAAAATTCCAATTAATTCTACGCAGTAGTTTTTGGTTGGTGCCCTTTTAAATATGGAGAGCGATAAGCAGCATTTTCGACATATCTTACTGTTTTACTACAGAAAGGGTAAAAATGCTGTTCAAGCCAGAAAGAAATTGACTGATGTGTATGGAGAAGGTGTGTTGACAGTACGCCAGTGCCAGAACTGGTTCGCTAAATTTCGATCCGGCAATTTTGATGTCGAAGATGCACCACGTTCGGGAAGGCCGGTTGAAGCTGATAAAGACGCGATAAAGGCATTAGTTGATGTGAACCGGCGAATAACAACACGTGAGATCGGATTGAGGTTAAATTTATCAAATTCAACAGTTTATGACCACTTGAAAGGCCTGGGATTATCCTCGAAGCTCGATGTATGGGTTCCCCATGTTCTCACAGAGAGAAATCTGTGTCGCCGCATTGACGTCTGCGATTCGCTTCTCAAACGTCACGAAAATGATCCGTTTTTGAAGCGCATCATCACTGGGGACGAAAAATGGGTTGTATACAACAACGTCAAACGCAAGAGGTCATGGAGCAAAAAAGATGAACCGGCTCAAACCATTTCCAAAGCCGATATTCACCAAAAAAAGGTGATGCTGTCTGTTTGGTGGGATTTTAAAGGAATCGTTTTTTTTGAGCTTTTACCGGATAACACAACGATTAATTCGGAAGTCTACTGTCATCAGCTGGACAAACTGAATGATGCACTTCAACAGAAAAGGTCAGAACTAATCAACAGGAAAGGTGTAGTGTTTCACCAAGACAACGCGAGACCTCACACAAGTTTGGTCACTCGCCAAAAGCTTTTACAGCTTGAATGGGATACAATGCTACACCCACCATATTCTCCAGACCTGGCACCATCGGATTATTATTTGTTCCGGTCACTCCAAAATTTTTTAGACGGTAAAACCTTCACCTCAAATGAGGAGGTCAAAAACCTCCTCGATCAGTTTTTTGCCGGCAAAGACCAAAAATTTTATGAGCGTGGAATTATGCTACTACCAGAAAGATGGCAAAAGGTGTTGGACCAGAACGGTCAATATATAATTTAATAAAGTATTTGTTTATTATACGAAAGCTGTCGTTCATTTCCACAAAAAAAAAACGAAATGACTTTCCGAACAACCCTATATTTTATCGGAAAAAAGCAAATTTTCCTTTTTGTGTTGTATTGTTCGTAACAATTTTATAAATTTAATTTGGCTTTAGAACACAATTGCTTATTATAAGTAACAGTGGTTTTAAAACTATAAATTTTTCGTAAAATGTTAATAGCAATGCAAAAGGAAGACCAGAGTGGCAATTGCTCCCGGTTAATTAACCTTATCATTAACAAACTAACTAAGTTAAAAAGTTAACAATTTTCGATTCTAGCTTCACTGGTGTTTACGTCGTTGTGCATCCCTCTTGTTGAATTTGGTTTCGAAATCGGTAAGCCAAGGTATTAGCAGGATTCAGAAAAAACTCATCTAAACGCCAGTGAAGTTTTTCAATTTTCATAAAAATTTGTAATTGTACATTATTAATAAACAAATTGGCAAAAATTGCCTTTATCTGACAGACGATTTAAGATACACCATAAATAATTATGACCAATTGTTCTAAATAAATCATTATCTACTCAGACTTTATTAATAAAAAAAGACCGATTTGTTTCGTCAACTACCTTAAGGTTAAAAAATTTCTTAATTTTTATGTGACAATTATCACGATATCAACAATAATTGTTATTTAGAATTACCTTGAACAGTAATAAAAATTTGAAACATTTTACAAATAGATATACCTATAAATAATTAAAACATGTAAAGTAAGCAATTCGCAAAAAATGATTAAAATATCACACATTTTAGTAATGCAAGGTAATACTGCTCGTTAATTAATTAAAGTCATTAATTTTTAATTATAGTTACGTATATCTGAAATGTTACAAATGTTAATACCAACATTTTAACGATTAAGCGAAAAAATTCATGAGCCATGCAATTATATTATATACAAGGTATAGGAAGACAAGAAATTATTCTGAAAGAAGTAGTAAATACTAGACAAATGGGACTTCTCTTTTGTTAAATATGAATATTAAAAATTGTACAAAAAGCTACAAAGCCTGGAAATTATGTATCTATTATATTTAAGGATGACTGTCTTTTTTTTATATATTTTTAGTATCCATTTCGTATTACTTTGGAAATAACTCCAAAATTTTTAAAAAATTAACAAAAATTACTCATACCAATAGGATACTCCGTTTCATCAGTTGAAATTCAGAATTAAGTTTATGTCATAAACAAACCCTATTTTTTTGATGCCGATTGTTTTTTTGTGTATTCGCATTAACTACTAGGTATGTATTTAGAAGAGACCATTAGTGGATGTTTTACACCTTACTCATTAATAGTAGTACGGAAACATCTTTCTTCAGACCTCATCTTGTCTATTTTGTCGTTTGAAGCACTGTCTTCGTTAATACATGCGGCGTTTTAAGGGAAGAATATGAATAGTTGTTATTATTATCACATTTCATTAGCAATTATTATATTATTAAACGTTAAATTTTAAATAATTTATCATATTGAAGCCCTATGATTGGGGAAAATAGCAGGAGGTGGTGGCAACGAACCTTGGGGGAGATGTAACTCGTGCATTGGTAATACTGGTAGTAGGTGTCTTAGTTGAGAAGGCGACTTTTTGAAGCCATACCTGCAATAAGATAGGTCTTTTGTCGTTGATTGATTTCCAGAATTTTAGTCTCAAGAAAATAAAAAAAAAATTGAATCCGTAAAGTCAAGATATTTCTCTCAACGAGAGACTCGAATCTCTCAATAAGTGGTGTCTCGATAGACATGGTTAAAATTTTCTAAGTTCAACCCTATCTTTCTACGAGAGACTCGAGTCTCTCAATTTTTCAGTTTTACTCATTCAGTCTCTCTGTGAGAGACTCGAATTTCTGAATTAACAATTTTATCGTTCGAGTCTCTCATACAGAGACTGTGAGAGATCCATAAAAACACCTAGGCAATAATTGAGAGACTGTGAGAGACGCTCTCAGAGACGCTGAAAGACTCTGAGAGACTGGAGAGAGACTGTAAATTTTTGTCTAGGGGTGTAGTATGATATTTGTGGAAACATTAAATAATTTTACCTTCGTGTCGAACTTGTTGTAAAGCATCCACAGTGGAAAGAACACACAGATGTATTATCTGGTTCAAGATATGCTATTTCGGTGCAGTGATGACCTATGTGACCACTTAGTATTGACCCATTTGCTGTAATAACGTCGCCCTCTAGCCTAACGGCCCCGACCAAGGCTTGCATTGCTTGAGCTTCGTCCCTTCGTTCATCTTCAGTGTTCATAGTCACGAAACGTAGAACTAGTAAATTCAACGAGGCAGCTACGATTGCTAATCCGAATAAAATAAAAATAAACGCGAACATAACATATTCTGGTTTGTCACTAAGGGCACTGTCTTTTTGGAGGGCCACCTGTAAATGAATTGAAAGTAACATACCATTAGCTGATATCTTCAGGTAATTGGTCCTTCCTTTAAAGGCATCGGGTTTAATAGTTCCGGACAGTTCATAAAATTCATATAAATTTTTGGCAATCCATTAGATTTACCTTTTCAATCTTATAAAGAATGTGAGAAATTCATGGGTTGCTCTGTATAGTTACAATCTTGATGAAATTTGTGTAGTGGTAAGTAAAATTGATCTTGGCAAAAGTGAGACCAAGACTGTCTTTATACTAGCAAGACCAAAACCGAACGAACAAGACCAAGGCCGACACCGAATATATAAGTCCAAAATTAATATCAGGATTGGGACAGCCTCGGTCATTGTCTGGCTTTACTCATCACTAACTGTGTGGAAGGAAGTCAGATAAGTCTGGTTGGAAGGAGTTGGAGGGATATACAGCAGAGGATAGCGCAGGGTCGAGTCGCCTTCAATAAAATGAAGTCATTTCTATGCTCGCGAACGGTAAATTTAGAAATTCAAAAAAGATTGGTAAAGGTGTATGCTTGGAGAGCGGCGGTGTACGGGTGCGAAACATGGACGGTAGATACGGCGGAAAAGAAAAGGTTAGAAGTGTTTGAAATGTGGTGTTACAGGATAATGATGAGGGTACCGTGGATAGAGGTTAGAAATGAAGACGTATTAAAAAGGGTAAGAGAACAGAGGACTCTATGGTAGTCAATAAAAAATAGGCAAGATAAGTTGGTAGGACATTTTCTCAGGCATGAAGGTCTAGTCAGAGGTATACTGTTCGCAAATTGTTAAGGATGTGGATTATTCTAGTTTTGAGGAAATGCGTAGATTAGCTCAGGATTGGAAAGAGTGGAGGTGCGTGTCCAACCAGTCTTAGAGCTGACGACCTTATGATGATGATGAACTGTGTGGAAAGAAGAAAAATCACTCTAATCTAAATTTGCCCACTATTGATCAAGGCTATCCCCTTCATTCGTTTTTGCAATAAACGCAGATGGCCGATCCTAAAGGAAAAAGGATTAAAGTGATTTTCCTTCTGTGAAGAAAGGACCAACTCTGCAAAATGTAAATGTTGGATACCATATCTCCAAAGCCGATAGTGGTCAGTGTGATGAAGCAGTAATAAACTGAATCGAAATACGTCCACCCTTCGTATCTTGAGAAAGCTGCAGCACCGCCAGCTATTGTAAGCGAACTTAGGGTTGTTACGACACATATTAGCTCCAATTCTGACGCTTCATTATGACGGAAATGCAAGGAAGACTTAACAGATCTTATTATTACGCTGGAACAATACAACATTTAATGAATCAGATCTAGGAACAGCATCATGATTTGAAAAAAAAGAATAAATGTTCGGTAATCTATTTTTCTTTATTTTTCTTACCTGCTTAGCCTATTAACTCGTTCACCAATGCTATGAAACATAACTAGTCCTAAAGGGATTCCAATCATGGCGTAACACATTGTAAAAAGCTTTCCTGCAATAGTGCTAGGAGTCGAATGGCCATAACCAATGGTTGTAAGTACTGTTGTGGCGTAGTAGAATGCTCCGGCAAATTTCCATTGTCGCCCGGCCCGATGGGGCTCGGACTTCAACACTACGGTTTCCATTATACGAAAATCCTCGTTGCTAATGTTATATTTGCGTCTAACAATTATTTCAATTTCTGAAAAGTTAAAAAAACTCATTTCGTTTCCCTTGTTTTTAAAGAAATGATCTCATCATCATCATCATCAACGGGTCATTAGTTTTAAGGAAGTTGTTTCACGACATTACTAGTAAAAAGTTTATGCTAGAGTGTGTCGTACAGTCAGTTAGCAGCCGTGATACCTAAGCCTAAAACTTTTTGCTGTTACTGCACTATTCCCAGCCAATCCCGTACCGCTCTTCATTCGTGTATCCCTTCTACTACTTGAGTGCGATAAATTGTTCGTTATTTATTAATTAATATCTCAGAAACTGTGTTGTAATAATTAATCAAACTTTTTTCAAAGAAGTTATTAGACATTGTTTAATCTTTCTGTAGTTTTTTAAAACATTTGTAAGAAGGGATTCCAAGTTAACATTGTATTTCTAGTTAGCCTCGCCGGTATCCTGTATAGTACAATGTATAAAAGCCGCAAAAACGCGAACTTTGAAATTAAATATCTCTGAAACTATATTGTCCAATAATTTCAGTCTGCACATATAGGTGAAAAATAACTTAAATAATATTCTGTCAAAATTTCAAAAGAATCCTAAGAAAACGCTTTTCATGGAACAACTACCTTAAGACTAGTTGGACATGCACCTCCACTCTTTCCTGTCCTGAACTAATAATCTTCGCATTTCCCCAAAAGTAAAATATCCCACATCTTTAACTCTTTATGAACAGTAATCTAATGTAGGTCTACCTCGAACCCTAACCCTCCCAACTTTAATATTTCTCTGACTAGACCTTCATGCTTTATAAAGTGCCCTACCAACCTATCTCGTCTGTCATCTGTTCTCTTATTCTATCTAGCACCTCGGTTCTAACCTTCTCATCATCTACATTCCGGACCCGTACGGGATTGAACCTTTCGCGAGCAAAAAAGTGACTTCTTTTTGTGAAAGTCGACTAGTTCCTGGCCTATCCTCTCATTTATATCTCAACTGTTTCTTCTATCCTGGGCTATCTGTCATTCTAAATACCTACAATCAGTCACTTCTTCTAATGTTTCACCTTCTATCTTTATATTCACCCTTTTACCTAACAAGAATGTTATAGCGCCTCCTAACCTGATGGTAAAGTACGTAAAGTTTTCGCGACGGTTAAGTTATGTTTATCGCAGTGTTCTGTCACTGTGTATCTCCCGTATTACTTCTATTGTCTAATCGAAAAGAGCCTGTTATTACATCTTAATGTTCTTCTAGTGGATAGAAATTGTTCAGAAGAGGGTTGGATATTCAGAATTGATGGCCGTAGGCGAGAATTGGTTTTGCTCCTTCGGTGAGTCTGGGGATGGAGTCGTTCACCCGAAATTTCTCCAGCTATTGCGGTTAACGTAAAGCCTTTCGGTAGGGATGTACTAAGATTGAATTATTTAGGAACTTAATCGCAGTAAAATTGCAGCGACGGATTTTAAGCCATCGTCACTCTACTTGAAGATGCAATCCACAGTCATTGTTTGCAAAACGTCGGATAAATGACTCCATTCTCGCAGATTTAGCAAAGCAGAAAGAGTAAAACCAATCCTGTATTACGACCATCAAACCCGGAAATCAACTATCTTCAGATAACGCCGAAATAAGAAATTCTTCAATCAAAGGTTTCACTACTCAAACCAAAATTAGTATAACAATATAAAAATGTGATTATAATGGAAATTGTGTAATAGTTTACAACTAGTGACCCGCCCCTGCTTCGCATGGGTGCAATGCTGATACTAAATATATTTTTGTTTTGTTTAGATTATTATCGAAAAGGGGTAATCTTCAAAAGACACCCCCTGAACATACTAAATATAATACAGAATGTCTTTATATACAACATTCACAGTTTTTTTGTCATTAGACAATACAAACCGTCCTTTACATGCTGTAAAGGGCCATATTGATCTATATTAAATGCACAATGTATTTAAGGTACTGAATTGGATAAGAATTATTGCTGTATTGCCTACAATCGCTTCGTAAATAAGTCATTATTTCTCATAAAAAGTAAAGGATAAAAATGGTTATTGTGGGTTATCCCTAAGAGATAGACATATACCATCCCGGACTTTTTTGTAGACCCTTTTAAGATGTACAATATTGTAGTACATTATTTTGATCTATCTCGTAGGGTTCAGCCAGCGTTTGCAATGTAAGCGCAAAATATATGTTTATTTACGACATCACATTAGAAACCTCTAAAATTATCAGTGTTTCTCTACTATATTATGCATGTATTATACATATAAATCTTCCTCTTGAATCACTCTATCTTTTAAAAAAAACCGCATCAAAATCCGTTGCGTAGTTTTAAATATTTAAGCATACATAGGGACAGACAGCGGGAAAGCGACTTTGTTTAATGATTAGGTAGTGATAAACATAATTCTTTAACCGCAGAATTGTGTTGCGAATTTACTTATAATATTTGCTTAAACAAACATTCTTTACTCTCTAATACTACAGAGCCTGAAGTGAATCAGTTTTGATGAAATTGATGCATTTGATCTAGTCACTTAATGATAATTCTAATACAGTTAAAACCACTAAAGATTGTAATAAAATCTGCGTCAATTGCTATCACTTAATTAAATCTATAGCTGTCCAATAAAGAATAGTTTTCCCTATAACTGTAGCATTTCAGTAATGTAATAATCAAATTTTAAACTATCGTAGTTCTCTTTTGTACTATCAGATATAGTAACAGTGCGATTTATTTTTGAATGTTACTATCACCTCTGAGCTTTCTCATTCTTAAGCCCAACTTATTCTTCAACGACATAACATGACTGGATACACATTCGTGGGAAAAACTTGAATAATTATTGTAGATTGTAAGTTTTGTATGGTGTGATCAAGGTACCTTGCAAAACCTCCTTCCTTTGCTTTTCTGTCCGTGATTCGAGAGCGTCGAAAACAGCGGCTCCGATTAGCAAATACGTAAATGTGCACACAATGAGCGAAAGTGTACGGACGTTTTGCTTCTTCATTCTTTTCTAAAGCGCGACATGCTGGGGCCGGTGGAGGGCTCCCGCGCTGCTAGCTGCCCTCCGACCTCGCCACCTCCACCACCACCTCCAACACTACCCCACTTGTTAATTTCATGTCATTTTTAAACCTTAAACAAAACATTAATGAAATTTAGCAAGTATGCTATACTTCATTTACTTTCTCTAGCGATGTGCCCCTTCCAATGTCTTGGATACGCGCTGGCAAAATCGTAGGTAAGGAGAAAAAAGCTCATTATACTCTCGACTCTTGTTCACTAAGCATACTTTTTCATACAGTACCTGCCAATAGTTTTGTTCAGTCATGATTAGTAGTGCGAGTCGAAAACAAGCGTTAAAGCCTTTAATGTGTCTTCAAATATAGATAAACATCTCGTTGATATTTTCAGTAGTAAATGGTACCAATAGCAGCACATTTGAGCAATGCAATTGTAGTGGATTCAATGGTCAATTTTTCCGTGCAGTACTGTACGGATTATACGCTCCTCACCGGTTAAGAGTTTGGCCGAGAGTTGTCTCCTTCCTTTTCTGGCCTAGTGCTGTTCTTTTCTACTTTGCGCCGGTCAAACTGAAGGT